ACTGCTTTTATAAAACACATAGCACCACTAGGTAATACGACAATGCTAAATCAAAATTTTGTTATCTATAGCTATCTATATTGTTCCAGATCATGATTTTTATCCACAGTAGATACAAATGTGTAGAACAAAGAACAATGTTATAATGGTATTTTGCTCTGTTGAATGGAAATCCAATTATTTCCCCCTTGACTCCTATCATTTTTTTAATCCTGTCCTCTCTCTCTTTCTTATTTCTTTAAATAAAACATTTCATCCTATAAGTCTTTATCCTTTTCTTAGAAATTCTCATTACTTACTTATATTATTCCCAAGAAATGTTAAATCTGAGATCAATAATTTAAACATTTGACAGTTTTGATGCAAAAACATATTGTTATTCAGCAAATGTACATAGTACTTTATATTCAAAAGGTATTCTTCATCCTTGTGAACGAGTTTAACTCTCTAGGAGAAAACCAACATGTAACCTAAGAGATTAAATTTTTTGCCTGCTTTTAATAGCAAGAGACGCACAAACAGAATCAAGAATCTGAATTGCAAGGCTGAGTTTATGTTGCCTTTCATTTTGCAGCAATGGAGACTGAACTGGTGAAAAAAGGGTGATCAGGTTGAAAATCCTTACTTTGTTTTTGATGATCTATTCTCTGTTTCCTTGGAAACAGAGCTGGCAGCCACAGAGTTGCTGGCATTATGTTTTCTTTTTAAGCTTTGAAGCATCAAAGAAGAAGGTGAGGTTTTATGACTGTAATTCATAGAATCTGAGTTATTGTCAAGTAAATTAAAAACAGGGCTTCCCTGGTGGCGCAGTGGTTGAGAGTCTGCCTGCCAATGCAGGGGACACGGGTTCGTGCCCCGGTCGGGGAAGAGCCCACATGCCGCGGAGCGGCTGGTCCCGTGAGCCATGGCCGCTGAGCCTGCGCGTCCGGAAAAAAAACAAAAAACCCCCCAAAAAACCACATTCATCTTTTTGGAGCTTCTCTGGTGGCGCAGTGGTTGAGAGTCCACCTGCCAATGCAGGGAACACGGGTTCGTGCCCCGGTCCGGGAGGATCCCACATGCCGCGGAGCGGCTGGACCCGTGAGCCATGGCCGCTGAGCCTGCGCGTCTGGAGCCTGTGCTCCGCAACGGTAGAGGCCACGACAGTGAGAGGCCCGCATACCGAAAAAACAAACAAACAAAAAATACAAATATTATTGAATGCCTATTACATATAAGGTACTAGGAGGTAAAAACTAACACGTTTGAGAAAAAGTTTTAAACCAATTGAGGGGAATAAATCTTAGTTTCTAAGAGCCAATCTATTATATACATATTTTTTAAGAAAGAGAGGAAATAAAGCTTATTTAAAAACCTATAGTGTGGGGGTGGGATAGGGAGGGTGGGAGGGAGGGAGATGCAAGAGGGAAGAGATATGGGAACATATGTATATGTATAACTGATTCACTTTGTTATAAAGCAGAAACTAACACACCATTGTAAAGCAATTATACCCCAATAAAGATGTTAAAAAAAAAAACCTATAGTGTGAGTGTGGTACATTGAGATCAGTATAATTTATTGAAATTAATTTTAGAAAGAAAATATATTCCCACACCAAACGGCATGATTCTTTCTTCCTGTATTCAAAACTAGATAATACGGGGGTGGTTACCATGTGTTGAGAGGACAGTTTTTGCCTCCTGTAAATAAAACAGACAAAAGCCAAGGGGAGCTTAAGCAAATCTAAAAGATTTCCTAAAAAACTGATATATTAATGAATTTATTAAATATTTCAGTCGACAGGTGATTGTCAAATAATTATAATATGGTCATTTCCTTTATGAAAGTTGCATGAATTTAAGTTTAAAAAGCCACACCTTTAAAAACCCTGACTGAGATGAGAAGAGTTACAGGCAATAGTTGCAGGGAGGATTTTTCTTTTTATTTTAATCAAAGCTAATGCAAATCAAAACTACAAAGAGATATCACATCTGTCAGAATGGCTATTATCAAAAAGACAACAAACAAGTATTGGTGAGGTTGTGGTACTGTTGGTAGGAATGTAAATTGGTGCAACCACTATGGAAAACAGTATAGAGGTTCCTCAAAAAATAAAAATAGAACCACCCTATGATCTGGCAATTCCACTCCTGGGTATTTATCCAAAGAAAACAAAAACACGAATTCAAAAATTTATATGTACCCCTATGATCATTGCACCATTATTTACAGTAGCCAAGATATGGAAGCAACCCAAGTTCCCATCAATAGATGAATGGATAAAGAAGTTGTGATACACACACACACACACACACACACACGTATGTGTGTTTGTGTATATATATGTATATATATATATATGTAATGGAATATTACTCAACCATAAAAAAGAATGAAATCTTGCCATTTGCAACAACATGGATGGACCCAGAGGATATTATGCTAAGTGAAATAAGTCAGACAGAGAAAGACAAATACTGTATGATTTCATTTATATGGAATCTAAAAAAGCAAAACAAATGAACAAACATAACAAAACACAGAATCACAAATACAGAGAACAAACAAGTGGTTGCCAGAGGGGAGGTGGGGTGCAAGGATAAGAGAAATAGGTGAGGGGGATTAAGAGGTACAAACTTCCAGTTACAAAATAAATGAGCCACAGGTATGAAATGTACAATGTAGGGAATATAGTCAATAATAACATAATGTCTTTGTATGGTAGAGATGGTAACTAGACTTATCGTGGTGATCATTTTGAAATGCATAGAAATATCAAATCACTATGTTGTACATCAGGAACTAACATAGTGTTGTAGATCAATTATACTTCAAAAACAAATAAACGCACAGAAGAAGAGACCAGATTTGTGGTTACCAGAGGCTGGGGTACAGGAAAGGGGAATTGGACAAAAGTAGTCAAAAGGTATAAACTTCCAGTTATAAATAAGTACTAGCGATATAACATACAACATGATAAATATAATGAACACTGCTGTATGTTACCTATGAAAGTTGTTAAGAGAGTAAATCCTAAAAGTTCTCATCACAGGAAAAACACTTTTTTCTATTTAATTTTGTATCTATATGAGATGATGGATGTTCACTAAACTTATTGTGGAAATCATTTCATGATATATGTAATTATGGGGTACACCTTAAACTTAAAATTGCTGTGTCAATTATATCTCAATAAAACTGGAAGAAAAAATAAAATTAATAAGATCTAAGCATACTTATATGTTTCAGGGGAGAGAGAAAAGAATTAGAGAGATTGACAGAGACTTTAACCTGATAGAACTAATTTCCTGAAGAGAAAGGAAGGAATGGGAACTAAAACACAACTACAGGGATTTGCTTTTGATGTCCTCTAACAACATCGTAATAATATTAATGCTTACTATGTGCCAAGCATTGTTCCAAGCACTTCAGATGTATTAACTGAATTAGGACTGGATGGAGATAATGAACCTGGAAATGAAGAGTTGAAAGAATGTGCACCTGAAAATCAAAATTATCACTGTGAATATGAAGATAAAATTATGTACTGATAATCTGCTAAAAGAGAAAGAAAAGATGGTGTAGGCAGCCTAAAAAGAGGTGGTTTGAGGACTAGGAGAGGGAGTTGACCAGAAACATATAAAAGTATTTCTGAACAGTAATTCAAGTGACTGTGTCATTTTCTCCAGCAGTGCTCAGATACACTGGTGTCAGAGCTCAGAGCCAGACTATATTGACCCAGGGTTGGACGTTTATAAGCAGAGTAGGAATGAAAGACAAGAGTTCAGGAAGTCGACAGCACTGGCAGAGGGTGGTTAAGTGATGCTCTGGGTTAGGTTAGACATGAAATGAAGTGAATCCAGGAGGGGGATAATAATAGGAAAAAAGAAAGTAAAAAGGTAGTGATAGAACAATTACAAACATAGAGTCCATTGAGTCTCTCTCCGACTCCTTTCTGAGTGTACCATCAAGGCAGCAGGTTACCACAACTCATGAAAGCCACCAGAACAGTAAGCTCTGTCATCTTCAGGTTCAGGGGTTTCTCCACGGAGCATAGTCCTCGGGAAGGATAAAATCCTTGCTTCTCAAAGTGCACTTGACTGACCAGCATCACTAACATCGCTCAGGAGATGGTCAGAAATGCAGAATCTTGGGTCCCACTCCCAAACTGAATCAGAATCTGCTTTTTAAAACAGAATCTCCAAGTGACTCATATGTACATTAAGTTTAAGAAACACTGGGATAAACAGATGAGAGTGTAGCTTCACCCTTGGTTTATTTGTGCTGAGCGTGATACGCTAGGGGAAACAAGGCGCAAACATCCTGCCTGTGATGTTCTTGAGATCCCAGACAATTGAGTATTCCCTTTTTAATGTATAATTTAAATCCTTTCTCAAATGACTCCTTATGCCCTGCACAAACTCCTCCCTAATTCCACCCTGGACCCCAGGTGCTCTCATATCTGAACATCACAGTATCCTATGAGATAAACTATAAGCTTCCTTTTATTTTTAAAATTATTTGATTTTATGTATCAGCCAAATTTCCTGTGCACAGAAAAATTACTAGAAAATCAGCCCAAGGGAAATGAAATTCAGTCAGTGCCAAAAATAATCCTCAGAAGAACTCGGCAGTTAGCTACACACACGCACACACCCCATCTGCTGTTGGGTCAGCTTTAGAGGGTGCTACCGTGTCTTTCTAACTCCTAACAGACACTGTTTTGAAGCTGCTATATGTGATTGTGAATGGTTTTTGAGCTGCTTTTTACCCCCTTTTTGTGCAACACCAAACCGAAATTCATCTAAATGAATTAAGTCACTTGAGGGAGTCTGAGTGGAAGCTTGAGCGAATTTGCCTCCACATGTTAATGTGGAACCAGTTTCCAAAGAGGTGGAGGAGATTCTGAGGAGTAAGGCAAGTCAGCGATAAACGGATCACGCAGTACCTATCGGGAGCATCAGTGTTAATGAAAAATTTGGTAACGTTAAAGACTAACGATGCTTTTTGTGATTCAGGCTTTCATCTTATACCAAGACCAGAATCTCGTCGACCTGCTGGTGGTTTTTAAAGAGTCCGTGCTTTTAAGCGCTGTTACCTACTGGGCCGGCGTCGGCGGTCAAAGAGGGGGAGAAAAAGCCATTTGTTCCCTGTTTAAGCTAACTGGTCCAGAGAGCTGTGAATGTGCTCCACCACCGCTGGGAGAACCGAAATCGCGGAGGCCTGAAGCGTTTCAAAATGGAACGGTTAGGGTTTTTAAGCTGCTCAGGAGAGGTGTTCGCGACGTGACAGCTGATGGTCTCCGGGCTCTGATGTCCCCCCTCCCGGTTGGCTCACCATCATTAATCGCCTCCTCGTCTCCAGGTTAGCGCCCCCGACGCCCACCCCCAGCCCTTCCCACTCCTCGCTTGCAGGACCCCGCGCTCCGCCCATCCTTCGCTAGTACCCCCCGCCCCCCACTTCTTCTTTCCCTCCAGCCAGCCTCTCATTGCCCTTCCCTCCCCTTTCTCCTTTTCCTTTTCCTCGCGCCCTTCCCCCTCTCCCCTCACCCTCCAACCCAGCCCACTTCGGTTTCTCTCTTCTCGGCCCTCTCATTCGCGCTCCCCCAGCAAACGCCGCCTCCCTCTCTGCAGGCGGGAAGTGAGCAGAGAGGCTACGCGCAGGCGCACTGCGCGGCGAGCCCGCGGGCTGGCCGGGCATCCGCGCAGGCGCCCGGCGCTTGGGCTTAGCTCCCAGGCTGGCAGCCGGGCGTTCTTCGGCTCCCTGAGTCAGGGCTAGGGGTCCCGCGGCGGCGGCGGCGGCGGCACCATGTTCCTCCACTCCGTCAATCTCTGGAACCTGGCGTTTTATGCCCTCATGGTCTTCATGGCGACCCTGGGCCTGTGGGACGTCTTCTTCGGCTTTGAGGAAAACAAGTGTAGTATGAGCTACATGTTTGAGTATCCGGAGTATCAGGTGAGGTTTCGCCCTCCCTTCGCTGGGCGCTCCGAGGCTCGGGCCCCTCCAGCCTGGCCCTTCTGTGTGTTTCCCCTGCGTCGGCTCCCCGCGCCTCTCCTGCCCCCTTAGCCCAATCTTGTCCCCGCTTGCTTCGCCCCGGAAGACTCCGCAGCCCCCCGCGGCCCCTTTCTCCTGCCCTTTGTGTCCTCTCTTCACGGTGGGGTGTTTGATAGATGGCTCCCCGAGCATGCTTCCCGCCCCCCCCTCGAGGTTGCTGCCCGGTTCCTTCGCGGTCCCAAATCCCAAGCACAGGCTCATCAGAAGGGCCGGGCCCAACGCCCCTCATCCCCAGAGACTCAGCTCCAGTCCCTCTCCCCAAACCCAGACCCCATCCTCCCCGCCTCCCTGCCTTAACAGGTGCCCCGGGCGCTCCTTTGCTTCCCACGCGCCGAAATTCTTCCCCTCCCGCCCAGGTGTTTCCGCGTCAGCTCTCGCTTTTCTAGAAAGGAACCGAGCTTCTGCAGAGCGTGTACTGGCTACACAGTTCCCAGGGTTGACTTAGAGACTTAAGGGGTTTACGTCTGAAAGGCTAACCTGATGAGTAAATAAATGGGGAACTAGCGCAGTTCTCTCCTGTGAAGGTTTTGCGGAGCCCTCTTGTTTTGTAGGTCGTGGGTCGGTGCGTGTGCATGCATCCTGTGTTGATGCGTGTCGCCCCTTACCAGTTGCATACAAGATCTATTTCATGGTGTTATTTTTGTTTTCTCAACTGTGTTTGCAATTGAAGAGAGACCCGGCCCTTCTTTCTCTTCCTCTCTCCGCCCCCACCTCTTTCGTTCCATTTTGGATATTTTCAGTCACAGTTGCTTTACCAGTTCAGCATAGTAGACGCTAGAATTTCATTCATGACCAGCTGTAAAAAGAGATGGTGACAAATTGCATAACCGTCCAAAGAAATTGCTTCTGAATGATTCTTTTCTTTATAAATGCATCTCCTAATTATGGAATATGTATTGTAATGATAACTCCCTACCTTAGAAGTATGTGTACTATAATACATATTGATACAATGCATTTAAAACCATAGCAGATTTATTCTTTGAGGTGAAGGATGCATATCCTGATTGTTTCCGTGTACAGGTCATTACGAAGGAGCATATTATTTGATTTTCCTGCTATTATTTAGATCTTAAAACTACTTAAGGTTTAAATTGCTGAACAGCATCCTTTCCCATGGGCAAAATTCGAATTTAGATTTCATTTGTTTTGAGATCTTTACCTTGGTTTTGCATCAGTGCTTATAAGGAAGTGGAAGCATTTGATACCAGATGCTATTGAAGGAGCACATTTTAACATGTTACAGTTGTCTTTTAATTTCTAAATGAATATGCTGGTTTATGTTTATCAGAGGCCACATATAGTTAAATATATGGGCTTTTAGTTTAGATTTTTAAAAAAACTGAAAATAGAGCCCTTATAATCTCCTTTCATTTTTCTATGGTTTAATAATTAGGAAACTCTCAGTAGATTGAAGTAGGTCATTTTAGTTTTGTACTGCATTGAAGAGTTTGGTTAAAATAAAATCATTTTGGAACAATACGGTACTAATTCCCGTTTATTTTTGGATTACCCACAATTATTGAAACTATTTTAATATTTGCAGTAGTAGAAATCACTTAGTGTTGGGAACAAAGCATATGGACCTCACAGATACATTTCGTGCCTCATAAAATTGACTGGAAAGACAGAGAAAATTAGTGTAGCTAATGCAAAAGAGCTATTTGGGTTTTTTGGTGTTGTTAGGTAGTCTTATTTAGTTATTTTTGCTGTTTTGAGGTTTTACACTTCTGTTAATAATACGTTAGCACAGTAATATTACAGTGGCAGGAGTTTTTGATACACATTTTCAGTAAATTTTTATTTTTATGCTGTAAAAAGTGTTTATTCACTACAGTATTTGTCTTTGACTCTTAGTCTTTTTATTGTGCACACTAGGTTGAGTTATTTTACAAATACAGTTAAAAGCTGCCTACAGAAATGATTCATTTTGAATATAATGTGAGCTTTCTGGATAATTGGGGTCAGCCAATTAAGAACCAATGGTTTGTTAAAAGCGTTCTAAACATATTTTTATATTGCTTTTAATTATATTTTATAGTAAGCTCTAATTGTTCACAAAGTTGATATTCAGCATATGGGATGTCCTGGTTGTTGGGTTTTCTTCTCTTTCTTGATGCTTTTCTTCTTTTTTACTGCTCGTTTGCATATTCTTTAGCAGAATTTTAGAGGCACTTGAAAGGTTAGTTGAAACATGCTCAATTTTATTCTCCATTTTAAAAATAAAATGTGGGACAGGAATTTGAAACTGAAAAAATTGTTTGAATTTTAAATTGTTTGAGTATCTTTATTAATCCTCTACCTTTAGTTTTCCTAGACTCACTTATTCAGAGTTAATTGAACATCTCACACACCTACCAGGCAAAATACACACTATCCTTTAAAGCTTCTTGCCTTATTATGAAAGCAAGGCAGAGCTTGTATTTGGTAGCAAACAGTTTTAGGCAAACTGTAGAATTCGATAAGAAAACATCTGTGTTGTGTTTTTTCATGCAACAGTTTGTTTGGCACTCTTTAGATATGTGACCTGACAATTGCCCTCTGAAAGGAAATGTTGATATTGGGAAATATGACTCATATATTTTGTTATTAAGTGTGATGTTTATTTAGCATATAATTTATTTCATGACTTCTTTCTGTAGATATATTCTAGATCCTGGGTATGGGTGAGAGGGAATTAGAGATGAGTCACACCTTGTGCCTTTAAATTTATGTTTTTAAAATATAATGGGGGAGACAGGAGTGAAATGGATAAGTAAAATATAATGTGTTAAATGTTATAATTTCACTGTAAGAGAGTGTGTACGAGGCTCTTCACAGAAGAGAGCAGCCGTGTTCGTCTTGGGTAGTCAAAGGCTATCGAGAAGAGGTTGTGCACTGGGCAGTGGAGGGTATGTATACAGTTCACAAGGTGCAGAAACAAGAAAATTGCAGGAATAAAGAACAGCATTTGTGAAGGTGGGAATGCCAGGATACATTCCATAAGTAGTATTTATAGTATGTTATCATTTATATAAAAAGGAGAAATAACCTAAAACAAATTTGCCTGTATTTGTATATATGTAAAATATTGGTATTTCTGGAAGCACAAACATTGCTAACATTGGTTACCTTCTGGGTAAGGAACTGGATGGCTAATGAACCAGGGGTAGGAGAGCCTTTTCAGTATATACTCTGTTGAATCTTGAATTTTGGAACATATTAAAAAATTTAAAATGTGGCATGTATAAATTATAAGGAAATAGGTAAGAATAATAAGAGTGAGGTTTTAAAGGACCTCTCTCTTAAGTGTTTATCATCTGTGTATGCAGTGAGGAAACACATAAGGTGTATGTCTTAACAAGGTTATTTCTTGACAGCAGTATGGACTATGGATTGTTTAATTTTTGGGGGGGGAGGGTTCTCATTTAAAATAATCAATATAAAATAATTTAAAATATATTGGAGTCCTGTTACTATAAAAGTGTTTTTTTAAAACCCTTTGACCCTCTTCTGTATCTTTCATCATTATCCTTTTTGTATGCCTACATCTTTTCTGTCCTCAATCTAGTCAATACCCTTCCTGTCTTTTCCTGGCACTCACTCCCAACTTGAATTCTGTTGGAAATGCAGCTTTGCCATTGCCTACAACTCCCACATTTTATTTTTGTTCCACCTCTTTTTTCCACCTTTATACTTTTTTCTACTCCACATTATATGCCTTCATATTTTTATTTTATTTTATTTTTAACATCTTTGTTGGAGTATTATTGCTTTACAGTGGTGTGTTAGTTTCTGCTTTATAACAAAGTGAATCAGTTATACATATACATATGTCCCCATATCTCTTCCCTCTTGCGTCACCCTCCCTATCCCAACCCTCTAGGTGGTCACAAAGGACTGAGTTGATCTCCCTGTGCTATGCTGCTGATTCCCACTAGCTATCTATTTGACATTTGGTAGTGTATATATGTCCATGCCACTCTCTCACTTTGTCACAGCTTACCATTCCCCCTCCCCATATCCTCAGGTCCATTCTCTAGTAGGTCTGTGTCTTTATTCCTGTCTTACTGCTTCAGGTTCTTCATGACATTGTTTTTTCTCTTAGATTCCATATATATGTGTAAGCATATGGTATTTGTATTTGTCTTTCTCTTTCTGACTTATTTCACTCTGCATGACAGACTCTAGGTCCATCCACCTCACTACAAATAACTCAATTTCATTTCTTTTTATGGCTGAGTAATATTCCATTGTATATATGTGCCACATCTTCTTTATCCATTCATCCGATGATGGACACTTAGGTTGTTTCCATCTTCTGGTTATTGTAAAT